TACTGGATCTGTAGCGACAACAGACCGCAAAGGATGATGGCCACGCTTGGGTTGATGAAAATTGTAGTTTCCGCTACCTCCCATTCGCCCCATTCACCTGAGCAAACTTTTCACCAAAAGACCTATGATTTTATTCAGTCACAACCACGGTAATATTGAAAGAAATTGCCATTGCGGTATGACGGTATTTACAATATTGTTACATCCCTAGTTAGCAATGCCGCCTCACAGCAAGAAGGTTGCTGGTTTGAGTCCTGGCTGGACCAGTTGGCGTCTCTGTGCAAGTTCTCCCCGGGTTGGTTTGGGTCTCCTCCGGGTGCTTCAGTTTCCCCCCCCGCGATATAGGTGAATTGAATAAACTAAATATGCCTTAATATGCCACCCAGAACTGGATTATGGCTGAAAGGGCATCCTGTGTAAAGCATATGCCGGAATAGTTGGCAGTTCATTTCGCTGCGACGACCCCTGATAAATAAGGGACTAAGCTGAAGGAAAATGAATAAATGGTTTAACTACAAAACATCATCATCATCATCGTTCGTTCGTTTGTTTGATTGTTTGTCTAATTAATAAAACTAGTTAATTTTCTTAAGGGACTAGCAATAGACTAGATCAGGGGTGTCCAAACTCGGCCCTGGAGGGACGGTGTCCTGCAAAGTTTTGCTCCAACTTGCCTCAACACACCTGCAAGGATGCTTATAAAGCCTAACGAGAGCTTGATTAGCTAGCCCAGGTGTGTTTGATCAGGGTCGGAACTAAACTTTGCAGCACACCGGTTTTCCAGGACAGAGTTTGGGCACTTTTGGACTAAGAGATAAGCAATTTTATTTTTGCTGAATTAAATTAGATCAGTTTTATGCCTTTATTAACTAAATCAGTGGACAGAGTTTTGTTCCTTTGTTTTTCTTTAACTTTATTTTTTTTTAACTTAAACTTTTACGCTGTTAGATGGTGACAAGAGACTTTCAGTTTCAATAGCCCCTTTCACACATGCAGTCCTTACCAGAAAATGACTGCCAATTTTCCAGAAAGGGATTGTGTGTGAACAGGCCCTTTTTGTTAATACTGGTAATCTCATTTTGGCAATTTTCCAGAAAAAGAAATTGTAACAATACCGGCAATTTGCTGGAATGCTGCTCTGTGTGAACACAGAAGCAAAGTTGCAGGAAAGAGTATGTTCACGATTAGAATGTGCTGATGTGAGAGCTCTACTCCAGCCTATTAGAACATTCAGATGCATTTACATCTGCGCTGTTTATAAAAAAAAAGCCTTTGAATATTTTTTTAATATACATTTAGCTGCTAGATGTTACTCAGATAATTTTTCTCTGTTTCTTCTTAATGCCAACAGTGTCAAAAATCATTGATAAACTGTCTATGATAAACCGCTGTTTGTTTACCTTCAAGCTGTGCTTTAGTTGCTTGACGCACATGCACGTGAAGTAGGCGGTGAGGGCCAGCACACACACATTTCATGTACCATCAACCATTAACAAAAGCCGGACCCCTTCTACGTTTAAAAATACAAGCGCAGCTGTTTAGATCTCATTTATGATTAGTGATGTCAGAATTTACTGGTATTTTGAAATAGATGTATGGATAGTCTTTTCCGGAAAAAATTCCGGAACGTTCTTGCCTGTGTTAACAGCACTTTTTTTTTATTTACTGGTAAAGTCGTTCTGGTAAATTTACGGATATTTACTGGTATCACTGTGTAAAAGTGGTAAATGACTTTTATTTTAAAAAGGAAAGATTGTAATATTATTTTATTTTTATTTGCAACACTTTATTTTTTACTTGCTACAACACCTGCTTAGATCTTTTTATACCATACTGTGTATATTACAGTAAGCTAGCTTTTGATGTCAATGATTGTTTTTCATTTGTTGCTAGTTTAAAAGTGGTAATATAAAAATCATATAAGAATTTGGACAACAATCATGCATCAATTTTTATAAATTGTGATATTTTTTTCAAACATTTGGTTTGTCATGAAAGAACATTTAGCAGAGATACAACTATTTGAAAATCTAGAATCTGAGGGTTGAGAAAAAAAATCTAAATATTGAGAAAATTACCTTTGAAATTGTCCAAGTTAAGCTCTAAGCAATGCTCATTACTAATGAAAAAATAAGTATTTATATATATGCAGTAGAAAATTTATAAGATATGTTTATGAATATGATTTTCGGCATAACAGAAAAAATTATAATTTCCCAATTTAATGTATTTTTGGATAATGCCGTAAATATGACAATGAAAACTAGTTTGTGTTCCAGGCTCATTATTTAGTTTTTCTTTTATACACAATACAGTTATTTTGTAACTACAATGAAAGAAAAAAAATCTTAAGATTTACTCATAACAATTTGCACAATCAAATTTCAAGTAAATTTTACAATCTTATATTAGGTACAATTAACTTGTTAATATTATCTAAAATTTGCTTAATTTATTTAGGAGTGTCTGATTAAACATTAAGTAAAAGTTAAATAATTATCTTTTCTTTTGAGTCTTTATTTATTTAAATAAACCAAAATGATGTATTTTTCTTGTTTTAGCAGGAACATTGCTTTTATCGATTTAAATGAATCCTATTAGTTACAAATTAGCACATTTGGTGCAACTTGGTTTAATTAAGACAAACATTTCCTTTAAATGTGTTATTTCGCTTTATTTTAAGCTAATTTGTTTAGCAGATTTATTTTATAAATGCTTAATGATGTCAGCGTTAGAGTAAGCACATTTTCTGAGTGAAGCATCAAGCATTAATGCTGTTAATAAATATGCCAAGACCCAAAGCATGAGTGCTGCTCTTCTGCAAGATGGTAATCTTAAACTAAAAGACATACTCAAAACTCTTCTTAATCTACAAACTAATGATGATCAAACTTTAACAAGTCTTTCTCTCAAATTTAAACACCTATAAGATTGCATTTATTTTCAAAATATTTTTTCTTTTAATTCAATCCCCAGCGAAGCATGCTGGGAACTATCCATTACGACATATCCATTATTAAAACTTATTTATTATTACTAGGTGTGGTTAAGATTAGAAAATATTTGAATGAATATTATCATTTAACTCTTTCCACTCATTTAATTTATTACATCCAGTAAATGTGTAAATATTAAATATGTACATAAAGTTCTAGTAATCCTTGACACTTAAAATTACAATTTAAAAACGATGACAGTCAATTTATTAGATTTAACTACACCAAAATGTCATTTCTTTTAGTGTATATTCATAAAGATTTTGTATATATGTGATATAGTAGCAGCTTATAATATTTTAAATAAATTATATATTTTTTTTATCAACTCAGAATGATCTGCATGTGATCCAAATAGCTAATAGTTATATTTTCTGAAATAAATACAATAAAAAATAATGACCTAAACACTAAAACAGCGCATCCATTTTGTGGTTGTGTCATCCTGAAAAGAAGTTTAGATTGTCCCAAAAAAAAAAAAAATCTTTTAAAAAGTAGGTGCGTGATGCCCTTGATTCCATGCTTCAATTTTCCTGTCATCATCTCTGTCTAGACATCATTCCCTTCAGTTCTGAAAATATGGGTTATTTGATTTGTGATTTGTTCAAGAAAGCTCAATTTTCTCTGTCGAGTGCCCCTTGAACGGCTGTGCTGAATGGCAGAGGCTGCAGCCACAAGGCAATCAATGAATGTCGCTCATGCATTGCATTACTCCACACACAATAGCCTCTGATTTGGGCGCTCTTTTTGGGCACTGTCCTGTAGGTCTTACTGGCTATGGCAACAGTGCATGCTTTGCTCAAATTGTGTGTGATTCAGTTTATGTTTGCTCTAGAATGTTTTTGCCGTAATGCAGTGTTTTAAAATGATCATTTTATTCTACTATATTTCAGAAGAGATCTCCATCCCTATGTCAGCATCAAAAGGAAAGCTTTATAACTTATATCACTGTATTACAAAAACATACAATGGCATATGACATTGAAGTTGAAAACACACTTTAAACAACTGTTCACAACCCTCTTTTGCAGTAACTGACGACCATTTTTTTATTTTATTTTTTTTTTAAATTTAATGCATTTGCTGCAAAGACTTGCTCTCTAAAATAAAGATTCCAGAAAGAACCAAAAACAGGTTTTCATTATATAAGAAGAAACTTTTTGGTTCCCAAAAAAAAACCTTTTAGACAATTATTATTATTTTTTTTTATATTTAACCCTTTGATGCTATATGTAAACCCACTTCTATTGCACAACATGAGTGTGAAATGACCCACATACATTACTTATGTAAATTTATGCTTGGGTTGTAATTTTGTTTTATCTTTTGAAATCAGTTTATCTCAGCATTAAGCATTTCTTTATACACTGTAATACTCCTTAATTTACATGCAAAAAAAATTAAAAAAATGGCCCCACTTTATTTTGATTTTGTTTCTTAATTACATGGCAGTTAGATTGCATCTACTTGCCAACTAATTTTCATTAGATTATAAATAGACTGTTAGGTTGGGGATAGGCTTAGTGTAAGTTGATATGTACTAGCAAAGTTTCTTATATATAGTCTGTTGAAGGAGCAGTATCAGCAAATATTAAGCAGACAGAATACTGAAATGGACCATAAAAATAAAGTGTTACCATTTTTTTTTATTCAGAATGTAAGAAATAAGGCTGGAAATAAGGATTTGTGATGGTCAAAAACAAGTTATCTGAGACATTACTGGAAGACCAAGTGAAGAAATTAATTTATTGCAAAGATATAGAAAGTCAGAAGTCAGTCGGGTCACTTTGGACCCATATATGCATCAAAAGGGTTAAATTACCCATGCAGAAATGTAATTGTAATCTCAAAAACATTATAAATTTGAATAATATAATATAGTTTCTCATCGATGGCAATATATAAGCTTAAAAGTGAACCTGCAATAGGCTACTTTTCCCCCAACTCAAAGCAGTTTTATAGCCCAATATAATGTTTATATATAAATATATATATATAATCGCATGTGGGCTATATTACACTAACTTCATAACTTTGAGCTTCTAACATGCGTTTTAGGCGTGTGAGGATCAATACTGAAAATGGCGGAGGATAGTTTTAATTTTCAAAACGCAGTATTAAAACAAAGACGCAGTATTCTAAACATAGCTTGAAAGTAAACCGAGCAACAGTCCCACCGGAGGAGCTTTTTTTTCTGAAGTGTATACTCTCATTGTACTGCATTGAGGATCCACAATCACGCTTCGTATCCACTGACGCGCAGCTGGAGTGACACTTCACCACGTTCATTCGCGCTCAGCTCTCCAGCTTCCACTTCTTCTTAAAGTTTTCGACCGCGCGTCACAGGGGGGAAAGATGGCTTTTCGGCACGGATATCTAAGACTATAGGATTTAAGGAGCTTGAGTGGTTAAGGGCACCTCTAAAGTGTACATTTCATTCGTATGTCATTTAATTTTACCCCCATTTCCATGGCGACAACACGGCGCGGTCATCGATAAGCGCTCTGTACTAAGTACGCGAGGGATTTTGTTGTCTACCTGGGGAGACTGGAAATCTGGATTAACAGATGAACTGGAATGGCTAACTAACGCGTTTCTCTTTTTGGGCTGCTGTGGACGGATTTACACCCCGAGAACTGTGCAGATGAAAATGGTTGTGTGTGGATGCTGGAGGAGGTGTGTGGTGATGGGTCTCAGACTGCTGTTTCTTCTCCCGGCAGGTTTGCCCGTCCGCAGCCAAGGAGAATCTCAGTCCGATAACAAACAGATGGACAATATCACCATCAGACAAGGAGAGACGCTCTTCCTCAGGTAGGTGCTGGTGATGGTTGTGCGTTTATCATGCTGTCATGTTTCTGTTTCCTGCGTGGAAGAGTATCAGCGCTGTCAAATGTTGCTTCTGTTTTTTGATGACGTTTGTCACCATGTTTGTTTATACATTAATATTACAAGGTGAAAAACACGTTTTTCGTCTGACTTTGTTAACTTCAAAATGCTGTTTCTTGGCAAAAACTATTCCAAACTACTAGAATTGAAAACTTAAGTTATAGGAGGCTATATTAAATTAATAATTAAATTTGACTGCAAACCTGAAGTCCAATAAGTTTTTCTTATTAATTTCTTATGTATTACTAAATAAGAAATGTAGTTTTTTTGTTGAATAAAAAAATAATAAAAATAAATAATAATAATAATAATGATGATGATAATAATAATAACAATAATAATAATAAATAATTAATTATAGGCTAATTAAATAAACAATATAAAAGAGGTTTAATTGCATCATATAACCACTTTACAGTGTGTGTAAAAACATAATTATTTATCTTGTAAATAGTCATCAGACTAAATAATATTTTCCCCCAAGTTTTATTGGTCTGTTTCAATTCACTGAAATAAAAATGCAAATTCAAGCGCATTAACATAGAAATAAATAAATAAAAATAAATCAATAAATCAATAAATTAATCAATCAATCAAGTGGTCACCAGCAGTCAATTGCATTGTCCAGACACTTTGGATGTATTATTGATGAAAATAGTTGATACTTATACATTTTTGTTAAATATAAATGAATAAACTAATACTATTTAATTGTAAGGTATTTATTTTACAATAAGTGTATAATGTAAACATAACACATACTATTTAGAAGTAATAATAAAAATGTTAAAAAAAATTAATTTTGAGTAATAGTTGGTTTTAGAAACTGTTTTGGGTTAGTTTATATTAATTAGCTCAGAAATATACTCAGGGGCCAGGCCATGCAGGGATAAAGATACAGCAGTACTTTGTACTGAATTCAACAGTAGACACACTTGAATCTAGGCATGGGCCAGTATAAGATTCTGACGGTATGATAACCTTAGATAAGAATATCAAAGTTTTAGGATATTGTCATTACTGCTCTAAAATGTATTATTTTTAAATGTCTGGGTAAAAAAAAAAAATAACAACCGTTTTCCTCACAATGTATTTTATTTTGAGAAACAGTTATATTTTATTTTTTGTTACAGTAAACATGTCAGGCTAAATCATTCAAATCAATCATTGACTTCTGCTGTCTTAGTTTCAAAAACAGAGATTTCTTTACAATGGCATCTTTGGATATCCTTTTTGCTGGAGATATTGTTGTCCTAAAAAAAAGTAATGAAAAAAATTATCTGACAAAAAAATGTACCTTAGAAACGGTATAAAATAAATTTTTGACGCTTTTAAAAACTTGACTTTTCCCAACCAAGTTATACTTTGATAATGGTTATCATTCCATGCCTACTCCTGTACTGTTTTTTTTTTTTTTTTTTTTTTTTTTTTTTTTAGGGAATCTACAATACAATATCGACACCACTGGTGGTCATTAAGTGAACTGCAGCCAGAAAAAAAAAGTCTTTCTCAAATTTGTGTACTCCTAATCAGTGTTGGGGGCGTGCATTACAATTAACAAAAGTTGCGTATAATATAACTTTTCTAAGTAACAAGTAACGCATTAAGAATAAAAATAATATTTGTGTTGCTTATTTGAAAATGTAACTCGAGTTACTTTTTTAATTTAAGTAGCTTTTAAAAAATAATTTGCTGAATTCAAATACAAGTAGTCGCAATGATTCATTATTTTGAACACATGAAGAGAAGGAAAAGGGGTTTGTGTAAATGCACAATGATTTTACTTAGGACAAATAGTACAAAAAGCCTCAGCCAGGTAATAAAAAGTAATGCAAAAGTAACACAAACTTAACGTAACACATTACTTATCATAAAAATCAACTAATTAACGCAACTAGTTACTTTTTTAGGAAGTAACTCAATTGTAATGTCAATATTGTAATGCCTTACTTTCTAAAGTAACTTTTCCCAACACTGCTCATAATATAGAAGAATCTAAAAACGAACCATTGAAGCTAATACATTTATAGTACTTTACTGTTAATGAGCATCCGGATGAGCTGTCCAAGGTGCTGAGAGTTTAGATGAACATGCTGGTTTCTGGTAATTTTAAAATAGACACAACATAAACCACTATGACAGATTAGTTCACATGCTGATTTCAAGCAGAAGTAGACAGAAAATTATTCTACAATATGCTGTATTCAGGATGTGAAAGTGTTTTGAAACGAAGTAAACAAACAAACAAAAAAAAAAGATCGAAGTAATAGCCTGCAAATCACAGAGCAAAGCTACCACCTGGTGAATGAGACAGCAGGTGATTCCCCAGATGTCAAAGATGATTGACACATCTAAAGCTTTCTAGATTAAAAGCAGCCATCTAGATGACACGTTTAGTGGGGTCGACGAGTGAGCTGGCGCATTCGACTCCAGCAGTGGGGAGGAAGAAAAAAATACTCTGTCATTTTTGGTCATAAGACATGAATAAGGCATCATATGTAACTGTCAAGGGTCTACATTTATTTGTGAGTACATCTTAGTCTCCAGGTACAACTTTGTGAAATTTTATGACAAGAGTAGACATAAGACATAAGCACATTTGAACAGTTTGTCAAAAATGGCAGATAGCAACAGGGCATATTTCATGCTATCAGTGGTCAAATCCAAATTGAAACTCTTTGAAACATGTTCTTTACAAAAAATCAGACTGCAGGTTTTCTCAGACATTTTTATTTATTTATTTATTTATTTATTTATTTATTTATTTATTTATTTATTTATTTATTTATTTATTTATTTGTTTGTTTGTTTGTTTGTTTGTTTGTTTGTTTACAATTCCTATATTTTAACTAGGGCTGCACAATATATCGCTTCAGCTTCGATATTGCAATGTGCATGTCCACAAGAGTCACATTGCAAGATATCCAATGTTGACTTGGATTATAGATGACCAGGAACTACAAGTCAAAACACATGAGATTTGTGGAGACTGCAGAATTTAAGAACAATAGAGTGAAAGTCTATCTGCATGTGTTTTAAGGCCTGTGAAAATGTAAGCATTTTAAGAAAGTTTAAAGCATTTTAATAGAGCATAAAGAAGTTCAAAAAATATTAATTTTGTTAAACAAATGTATATGAGGAAGACTATGCATTGTTAATTTACATTTGATTATTCAAGTTATGTAACACAATATGGTTAGACTTTCCATAGAAAACCATAAATCATTGTTTTATTTAATTTAATTATTTGTTCCATTGTGTATATAACTGTATTTTGTTTATTATATGTAAATAATAATTTATATATAACTATATTTATATGTGGCGGTTCATTCCGCTGTGGCAACCCCTGATTAATAAGTGTACTAAGCCAAAAATGAATGAATACATTTATATTTCACTCCCCTATAAAATGATCCCGATAATAATCAATCTAAAGACTTTGCAAAAAGAGTTATTGACAGTAAGTCATCTGGTGAAATTATATTGCAATAGACTACATTATATATTGCAATATATATTGCAGAAAAAAAAAATTGGAATGTCAAATTTTTCCATTATCGTGCAGCTCTACTTTTAACTATTGGCATATTACTAGCCTGTAATTAATATATCAACTGCTTATTAGTACTTATGAATTATGATCTTATTCTAAATCCCAAATCCTACACTATATATAAAAAAAAAGATTTATTGACTTAACTTAGAATAAGTGAGTAAACTTGTTGCATTTAAAATGATTATTTGACTTTACTTAAAGTGAATAAACCTATTGTCTTAAGTTTTAAGTAAATAAACTATATGTGCATGATTATAAAAATAAAGTTAAATCAACTTAACAGTTCTATGTTATAATAGATTTACTCAACCTGTCGCTTTTAGAGCAATAACTTTACTCACTTGAACTAAATATTATTATGCAAAAATTTTTGCAAACAATTCATATGTTGAATTTAAACAAACAAATTCAATTTAGTAACGTTTACCTTAATTTGTTTAAATTCAACCCAAATAAATTGTTTACAAACACTTAACTACAAACACTTAAAAAAATATTAAATCCAAGAAATCATCTACATCCTTACTAACTATTAATAAGCAGCTAATTGGTAGTTTATTGAGCTAAGTGGCTTAGTTGATGGTTTGTTGATAACAAAAATTGTTTCTTAAAAATTTTGTGTAAACTAATACTAACTAAATGCATAGAATAATATTAATAATAAAAAAAAAACTTTATTAGTTATAGGGCTGCATGATATTGGAAAAAATCTGACATTGTGATTTTTTGTTTTGCTGCGAAATATATTACGACATGAATATAAAATCACCAGATGATTTTTAATAGCGCTATTTGGGAAGATTTCGTTCATTTAGATTAACTGGGCTACTTAAATTTGTTTGTATGCAGTGCATCAGCATAAAATATAATATATTATAAGCATTTATAAATATGAAAGAGCGAAAATAAGAGTGTAAATAAATATTGGGGAGAGTAAAAGTTATCAAGGACAATGAAACGTCAACATTGTACAATCAATTAAGTATTCTTCAAATTAAATATTTTTATCTTTAAAAAGCAATCTAATTTTGCAATATGACTATTGCAGATAGTCACATTTGTGATATCAATGATCAAAGGATATATTGTTTAACCCTACTTAGTCATTTTACAATGTCTGTGTATCTAAATAGGATACTGTTCCCAAATGTTGGCCCAGTAGTTTCCAAAAACTTAGCACTTAATAAGAGTTCATTAAAACTTCTGAAGGAGTGCATTTATTATATAAATAATTATTGTAGGCTCTTTGTGTGTGCTTAACTTTTATTAACTAACTAATTGTATTCTGTGTGTATGTACCAAGTCATATTCTGTGGCTAAAATAGTCCCCCAAAGTGAGGTAAATGTGACAAACCCTCCCTTTGGG